GGTGCCAAATAGAGGTTAACTTAGACTCATCCACACAACACATACACTCCAGATGTTTGTGATGACAAAATATCAGACAGGCAGTATAACGGTGAACAAAACTAATAAATCAGAACTTTATCAAGAAAATCCACAATTCCACACATACGCCTTCATTAGCATGGTAATATGCAACAAAACTATGACAATGAAACACCACGCAGAATCACTAAACACCAACCTCCTACAAAGAAGCATCAATTTTTCATTTTTTTTGGAACAGCAAGCATGCCAAAGAAGCATCAATTTCATTGAAGACAAAACTGACCTGGAAAGGCAAAATAATAATGTTTGCAAACAAAATATCAGGCATTCCAGTTCAGTTTGCAATTAATGAATAATAAGAACAAAATTATCCATTCCTTCAACAAACAAATTTACTTGCTGAAACCACATAGAATTCCTAAGAAGAATAGCAGGGAGAATGGCTCCATCATTCTCATTACAACTTATCGCCTGAAAAAGCACCCTTGACACGTCAACTCCAGTTTATAAAACTAAACCAATACCTTACCCTTCACATCCCAGCCCAAGGACTCTACACTAGCACAGCCTCTTCTATCATTAGCCACTCCCCAAAATAACTAAAATGATAACACTAGATGAAAAGAACATAAAGTAAATAATAACAGTAATAAAATTAGAATTCATCAACCCAGGGAGACCAAGCTCTCCACATATGGACTCACAGGCCAGGATTCAAAAATTGGATTGCCAAGTTCTGCAACCTTGTTAACTGATTGGTCACTGGGGTCATACAGAGCATATTCATATCTCGTATACCAGTAAATCAAAACTTTTCCGTTTCCAGTAAAACAGACCGGAGTCATCACATCCCGGTTCAATGGATCATTTAAAGGGGTATTGAAGTTGCCATCAGTACTACTAACTCTGAACAATTTAATCCAAGATTTGGTATGTGTTACCACATTTTCCTCCATCATCCACACATCATATGTAACCTCGTCCGGAGACTCTACCAGACAAAGAGATTCTCCTGACAGGTGCAAACCGGTATACATGTTGGATTTATTGGATAGCATCCAGCTTAGAGATTCCTCTTCTCTCAATTTATCTGTGCTCAAATCAAAACTTACAATTCCACAACAAGATCGTCGTTGACGATTAATAAGCCAGTAAATGTAGCCATTGACATGAGTTCCATCTGATAAATCAAACGAGTACTCTACATCAAATTGAACAGTTTTCCATAAACCCCTCTTCAGGCTCAAGCTCTGGATC